ACAACGTCACATAACTCTGTACGTTCTTCTGGGCAAACAGACACTACTAGTATTACTACTCGCAGAGGTAGCAATGATGCGACTCGGAGTGCCGCCCCCGCTGGGCTTCTCTGCCCGGATCGTCTTATTCGYCAACGGACGCGGYAGGGTCGTTGKTTTCCTTTGAAACTGCGTGCGGTGGTTCAAGCTTTGTGCCCGGTGTCTTTTTCCTTGTTGGCAGGATCGAAGAACAGCCCGGTCGCGTTCCGTGGCAGCGAACTCAAACCATCGTCTCGGGTTCCGTCCCGCGTAGTTCGCTGGCCGCWCCCTTCCTCGATTCCGAACCACCCAAACCAAGATGGAAATGGGTTGCAGCAAGGCGATGGACCAAGAACACCGCATCGTGTTCTCCCGTACACGATGCGATGGAAACATTTCAGAACGGTTGTGCAAGGGACAGAAAGCGTTTTTGGTTTGGATTTGCCTGCCACATCGTTGCGGTACTCGGATCGGATCGGATCGGTTCGATTCCATTCGGTTCGTGCCGCGTTCCTTTGCGGTCGGCGCTGGCTAGACGCCGATCCTCGATCGGACCAGCGAGGCCACACCGAACAGAAGYGAGGACCACAACACCGTGGTGAGGGCATTGGCTTTTCTCATTATCTTGCGGAAGCTCGAACGTGAGTCCTGCACGAACCGCGTCCGCCGAAAGCGAGACCAGTCATCGCAAACGCAAACGCAATCGCAATCGCAACAACAGCAGGAGCAGCGGTGGTGTGAGCGGAACGAGTCGTGTCCAACGGTCTTGCGCGGTCACGGGGATTGCAGCACCACAGACACTCAATGCAAAACAAAACAATGCAAAACAAAACAATGCAAAACAAAACAATGCAAAACAAAACAAAACAAAACACGAGACAACGCACCATCATCATGAGAATCGCCGGCTTTGGCGACAACCCGATCGTTGCCTTGTTCAGGAACAACCGCAGGAGGACGTTTGCCATCCACAGCTTTTTGCCCAGTTTCATCCTCCTCGACGGCTGGTTGTACTGGTAGGGCGCCCCGCACCTCGCCAGCTCGATGAGGGCACGGGTTTCGGGCCCGTTCCTYGCCTGGTACGACCCCAGGRCCCCGGCGACAAAGGAGCCCGGTCGTTCGTCCCCCGGGGAAAGGGCRCCGGAAACGGCGTCCCCAAAGGATTCCCCCAGCACCATGGCGTCGCAAAAGGCCGCGTTGACCCCCTGCCCCAGGTCGGGAGGAAAGGCGTGGAGGGCATCGCCGACCAGGACGACCCCCGCCCCGTCGGCGGCTCCACCGTTCTGGAGTGGTTTCGACGAAACGTACAGGGAGGGCGAGTATTGGCACTGGGGAAACCTGGACCCCTCCGTGGYAGCGAACAATCCCCATTCGTCCTCCGAGACGATCTCGTCCCAATCGAACCTCGGAAAGGCCTTTTCGAAATAGGCCTTCGCCGAGCGACCGCCGTCGTCGGTCCTCACCTTGTTCGTGTCCCACAGRTCGTGGCCGGGCATGGTGCAGATGTTGACGGACCGTCCCGCCCCGGCGTCCGGATCCTTTTGCGGAAGAAAGATCAGGYTCAGCGCATCGGTGTCGCCTTTTGTGGCCGACTCCAGGGAATAGTTGTAGCGGTTTTCGAGCTCGTGTTTCTCGTGGGCGTCCGRACCCGGCCCTCCCTTTGGAATGGCGAAATTCGGTTGSATGCACAGGCCCTTGATCCGCAGCCCGGTCGAGGGAGTCGTGAACTTTTTCAGTCCAAACTTCTTGGAGGGATTCTTTGCGTTGGACCACTCCGCTGGATCGAAGCGCCCGTCCTCGAGCGACTGGCGCACGATGGAAGAAATCCCGTCGGCTCCGACGCACAGGTCGGCAACAAGGTGGTCTTCCGTTTCGTCCTTGCCCTTGCCCTCGGTCACGATCCTCACCAGTCCCTCGTCCGTGGGTTCTACGTGCGTGCAGCGGAYCCCTCGCACCAGCTCGATGTTTGCGTGCGTACCGTCGTTCCTTTCGTTGGTTTCGTCGATCGAGTCCACGATCTCCTCCACCAGTTCGTGCCGGGGAATCCAGTACATCGTTCCCACCCGCTTGCGTTCTTCCTCCGAGAGCTTCTGCCGAACGATCTTTTCCTCGTCAAAGACCTCGGCCGGATCGGCCGGAACCACCCGCTTGGCGAATTCCGTGACCTCGAGTCCGCGCCGGGTCAGGTCGATGCCAAAGGCGTCGGTGAACCGCTGCCCCCGCTTGTTGATGTTGTAGAAATAGGCCCTGGAGGGATCGTAGGATTCCTTCGGTGCGTCCTCCAACACGACGACGCGATCGAAAAAGCCGCTGCTCCCCTCTTTCTCGACCCTCGACAGAACCAGAGCAGCCGCGAGGCCGGCCGGACCGGCGCCGACAACCACCGCGGTTTTCTTTCTCRRGACCCCGCCTTYCTTGGCGGAAGAACCCGCGTCTGMCCCGGCAACGGGGGTGTGGACCCAGAGGGGGGATCCGGGCCGAGCGATCCCGGCCCCGGTGGGGCTTGCGATGGGAAAGGCAAAGGCATCCGCAACGAGAGCACCCGCAAGGAGAAGCAACAGAAAAAAGGGTCTCATCGTCGCCGTGTTGTAGCTGTCCCGGGGTTTGTTCTCGCTCGCTACCACGCTACGAATAGAACTGGCCACCACAATTCGGCCCTTTGTTAGTCCTACCGAAGTACGGTACAGTGCCGGGCTCTCAAGTCTGAACTGAGGTGTAAGCTGCAATGGTGATACCGTAGATAGTAGATACGAAGTAGTAGTAGTAGACTGCTATTCGTGGAAGTACGTACGTATGTAACGTACAATACAGTAGGATATTGATTACAGTATTCCTAATTCCTACAAGTCGTACAATCTAATACAAAAAGTACCGTACGTCCTATCTACGCAATGCTTACGTTAGGGGTACGTACGGTACCTTTGAGTACGTACTCGTAGTTGAAGAAGCCAATGGGAGACGTCTACTATTGTTCCCGTAGGTGGCGTTTTGGTTCGGTCTTCTCCAAAAAACTCGAATCCGAGAAACAGAAACAGAAACAGAAAACAATCACTACAATCACTACAATACTGTATTGGGAGTTCGTGCAGACTTTGGTTGTTTCCATTACGCCGGAAGGAAGGTCCGATTGCCGCTATGGATACGTGGCAACGAGAAATTCTACTCGAGATCCAGGACACACGGACTGACTCACAAAAAAGCTACTCGTGGGAAAGGAATAGGAAATCCGTCGAGGCAAAACGCAACGAGAAAGAGATGCGAGCGGCAGCAGCAGCAACAGCAGCAGCAGAAGTAAAGAGCGAATCGGTGCGGGATCCCCCTCTGCGAAGCATTTGTGGTTCTGCCGGCGGTTCCGTCGATGGAGAAACCAAAGCRCTGGAAGAACTCCCCTCTCGCTGGTCTCGGTGTACGGTACATCGGTCTGGGGAGAGCCCACCGTGCGTTCTCGCAAACCACGGTGGCCCGCCTGCTTCTGCGTGTCGCACTGGTGCTGCCGGCGGTTGCGAGCGCTCTGTTTCTCGTTCGACACACACAGACRGACACGAGTTCGCAAACAAGCGGTACGTACCCGCCACTCGAATCGGCACGGCATCTCTTTGTGCAACACATACTCACTAGACGGGCAACAAGAAAGAGAGACGAACGCGATCTCTTTCTCCCCCCGGACGGTTTGGGGACCGGGGGCACGGAGGTTTGGAATCGTGTTTTTCCCCGGTGCATYGGTCAATCGCACCTCGTGCGCCACCGTTGCTGGCAAGCCGAGCGATCGGGGGATCCTGGTGGTGGTCCTGTCTCTGCAAGAACCTACACGATTCGACMACCACAAGGAGGCCAACAAGCAGAGGGCCCTGGCCGCGATCCAAGACGTCGTCTCCGAGACCGGCGCAAGGRTGGACGAGCGGGTCCTCTCCGGCCATTCCGCAGGAGCGGGGACGGCCGTCACCCTGGTTTCGGAAATGAACCCCCGGCCAGAACCCTGGTTTTGTGTGGCCTCGACGAGAAATACACAAAGGATGCCACCGCAAGAAGGATGCTCCCCGTGTGCTCCCGGTGAATGGATCCGAAGACGGTATCCTTTACGGACCAAAGAGCGAGAAGCAACAAGGAAATTCGCGTCCTTTGATTCCTGGTACCAGCAACAGCAAAGAGGGCAAGGACAAAAGCGCGTGCGCCACGATTCAGGGGTGGCAACCACGCGGGGTTTGCCCCCTACGGCCCGCAACGGATGGACGGATTTTAGACTAWTGCACGCGAGAAACAACAAGAACTGTTYATAGAACACACCATTGAGTTTTCGACGGTGGGGAATGAATTCTCCAGCTTTTGCGAGACGAAACGCAAATTCGAATAGGAACAGCAACGATCCTCGATAGCCAGCGAGGGCCTTGCATTGCGTGACTACTATCCGGGCGCAAAACAGATGAATTCCACWAGCGTTAGCACCCAAAGGGAAACGACTCRCTGCCACACCTGCTCGGMAATATCACCAGCAAAGTTCCATCGCCTAGTTTTTGGTTTCGTTCTTGTCCAATTTATGATTTATTTAGCAATAGGGTTTCTATATTCAWTTCTATGTGGAGTGTGCTGATTTATATCGGMATGCTCCGGAAGGTCGTCTGGTGGATGGTTTGTGCCACTTGGGCGTCCTGACTACCTCGTATCGAAGCCTCTTTTYGGCTTCTTTTTGTAGAATACTTGTAGATATTCGCAATGGAATCTTCATCAAACTCACCGTCTCTCCGTTGAAGAAATTGCTCGTTCAATACACAGTCCCACGCTTGGTGTTTCTTGACTTCTGTCGCCTCTGGTGCCATGAATTTTTCGAGACCCCTCGTGCAATATTTCTTGCCGTCCATAAAACCGGAAGCGTGGTCTACTCTGTCCAGCAACGACAAAGTTTTCATTTTGATCGTTTCGTATTCGATGTCCTGGAACCACAAAGATTGAGAATCTGCCACTAGTGATCGYACTGGTTCGATGGTTTGGATGAGGACCGTGTTGTCAAATGCGATGGATCGTCGTCGTTGTACGGGATCTATTTGAAACGGAAGAAAAATCTCGAATTCTTCGGAAACGCTTCTTATGGAATCGCTTCTCGGCGACGATGTACAYTTCATGGAACTTCTTCGTGGCATACGCTCCGGACAGAAAGCCTTTCTACTGCCATCATTTAAGGAAGAGTATGGTGCTATTGAGGGTGAAGGAATAACAGTTTCACCACAATCGTACTTCGAATTTTCTTCTACCTCTTTGTCGTCTTCATTGTCAATCATCATAGCCATGGACGGTTCGCCGTATCCATACTTGGCGTACTCATCTCGGTTGTCATTTTCTGCCTGTTCTGGGGATACGAAATGTTTTCTGTATTCATACTTGTGTASGCCTTCGATGTCTTCTCTAGGGAAAGAGTCTGATAAGCTGTTCGTACGCTGAGATTGGGCAAGCATTTCTTCGTCTTCTTCGATTATTGTGCTGAAGTTTGTGGTCGCCGTCACCGATAAGGCAAGTGGTGGGTTGTCGACCGTGTCGGATGAATGGGACAGAGAAGGGAAACTAAAGTCTATCTTCTCTTCGTAGATGCTTCTTTGGGTRCTGACAGGACTGCGTTTCGAAACAGAATTATATCCGTGTTCCGATATRGATGGCGTCATCTCGTCCATAAACGTCTTTTCTTTCTGTTGGAGTGCTTTCTGTTTCTTTTTATGCAAAGGCGACGATTCGGAACCTGTGGATAGATTGGCGAAAGCTTGTCTTGTCTCGTTGTTTTCAAACAATGTTCCCATTGATTCGTAATTTGGTGTTTGCAAAGTTGGTTATTCAAAGTATTGTGCGAAGATTCAATCCTGATGTGTGAAARAAAAGAGAGAGGTGAATCACTTCGAAGGTTCGCAAATTGTAGAAGACGTTGYATACAACATGAAGCARCTAATCACCAAACGTTGGCGCTAGTTTGAAAAAA